TGATAAGGAAACAATACCCATCGTCGATCTTATGTTTGAGTCAGTAAGTATTTTGTATTTTCTGATAAATTTTACTAGACAATTCTATAACTTTAGTTGTTTGAAGTTTATTCAATATAGTATCAAGAATAATATCTATTTGAACTCTAAGTGGTTAGCTATGGACAAATGGGAACCTTAACTAGCAGCAGCTAGAAAGCATTTTCCTAATACGCAAGTAGTTTTGTGTAACTAGCACGAGGGTGAATTTTTATAAATTTTACTTCTCTTTGTTTTAGGGTTGTTGGGTGTTGTTAGATTATTATATAAATTCGTGCATGCCACCAAAATTTTGCGCGCCAACAACCCTACTTTTTTTTTTACAGATTTTTTACAATTTTTGCAATATTGTTTTTTTTTTTTTTTAGCTGATCCACTTAAGGAATGGTTTACTAAGAATTTAAATGATCAATGGCTTAGGGATCAGGTATTCTATCAGTTTCAATTTGTTAAACGGTCCCAAGATCAAGAAGAATTTAATTAACGAAAGACTACATTTCTAGATGCGAAGAAGCTTAAGGCTACCATTAGAATCACAAGCTTAGTAGTTGCAGAGACCATTGCATCTTATTTTCAAAGGTATTGGTTTGGTGATTGGGTTGGTTAGTATAAATTTAATTTTTTTGTATTTTTTTTACATTATACTAATATTAATACTATAACAGATATATGGCCAGATTACAAACATAATGATTGTTCTATGAAGACGAATATGTTATTAGAAAGTTATTTTAAAAAGAACATGATACTGCATTATCGAGGAAGATACACCAAATCTCTACATTCAAACCTCGAGAAAATAGGTACATCAATGCACGTAGATAGTGAGGAAATTGAAAGGTAAATCTAGATTTTTTTTAAAAAAAAATTTATATAATATAAAATATTCTTTTCTATGAAGGTTTTGGTGAGGAGAAGATAAATCTCCTACAACCTCGAAATTGCAACGAGAAAGAAAAAAAGTGAATACAATGGGAGAATTATTATACAAAAAAAACTTTGTTTAAGATAAATACATCTGTGCTAAATATTTATATATCGAATTCACACAATATTTTAATTTTAAAATTTATTATACTGTAGATCTGTGTAAATTACCTCTCTTGTACAATACTGGGATACTATTCAACTACAAATGCCAACATTTTTTGAATACTACCCTTATAAGTCATATTATTAAATATATTGCGATGTAGCATTCTTCTTTATAGTACTTCCCTTACACAATATCCCAGGTACTATTCAAGCTAATCTGAGAGATTTTTGAATAAGACCGGGGGTACTATTGGTAGTGCTATACAGTATATGCTATAGAAATAATCAATTCGGTGTTTTTATTTGTATATTTATATTTGCAATAATTTATTTTTTTAAAACCAGAAATTGATTAGGATACTTGAATTGTGTCTCAGTTCTATACAAATACTGATACCCAGTATGAAGTCACTAAATTAGATGTTAACAAAGAGAATTTCCAGTATGATACTGCTAAATTAGATGTTAATGAAGAAAACTTCTAGCATGATGCTGCAGAACTAGATAATAGAGAAAGCTTAATTGACAAGTGTGACATCAAGCAAACCAAAACATTATATGTTATATATAAAAGTGGAAAATTTGCTTGCCTATGTGGTTTTTATGTAATCCGCGGTCACGACTGTCAGGATATTGTAGCTGTTCGGCTATTTATTGATAAGGTTAAATTACAAAAGTAAGTATCATTTGTTTAGTTTTACAATTTCTTTCTATATTAATATTTCTAACTCCTTTTATAGTAGTGTCTTTAATTCTCATGATAAATCCAAGCTACAATGGTACGTAAAAAAAAAAATCTTGTTATATAATTATTGGTGGCATAGTAAGGTTCGAGGCACAGGGTCATAGGCATGCTTTAATTCAGAGCATTTGTATAGCATATTTTAAATATTTTAATTTAGAGTATGCCTTATTTTTTTATCTGTATCTCGAACCTAAACCGATTTGTAGTAGTTAACTCACGATGTTCAAGTTCATAAGCGCGTATTTAACATAGAGAAAATTTTGATTAAATACTGTATTTAAAAGAGAATTTGAATCTTTTACTAGATTGTGTTGTGAATAAGAACTTTGTATTGTACTATTAATCTAATACAGTCAACTCCCTCTAAGTGCACGTCCTCTAAGTGCAACTTCTCTTTAAATGCAATTAAATAGTCTAGTCCTATGTTGGGACTTATAACATAAATGCAAGTTCTTTATTCTCTAAGTGCAAGATTTTTTTTAGCCAGCATATATAAAATTATTTTCTCTAAATACAAGTTATTTTATTAACCAATTAAATTAACTTATTTAATTAAAGTATTTTTTCTAAGTGCAAGATATTTTTTTAACTTATAAACTTGCACTTAGAGAGAATTAATTATATATTAATTTAGTTTTCTTTAAGTGCAAGTTCTCTCTAAATGCAAGATATTTTGCTGGCCTGTTGGCTTGCACTTAGAAAGAGTTGACTATATTATATTAAAATTATCTTGTTTTTTTCTACATTCTGCATAGGTCTGCAGATGAATCAGCTGCAAGCAGTTCTCTTGAATCCTATCTTTGCTAAAAAGATGCTAATGGTCACAAGAAGGATGAGCTCAAACTACCTAAAAAAAGGGGCCCTAAAAATAAAAGAAAAAATCGATTGGTGCCGGGTGAATCTATTTACCTTCAAGGTACAATTTTAAATATACCTTACAAAAATGTAAAAATTGTTGAAATTATTGGTGAGAGCAGAGTTATTGTGGATATTATCTTTGAAGATGGTAATACAGATTGACATATAGTTCAAATAGCTGATATAATCGGGTACACCAATAAACAAACAAAAAAAAAATCAAAGGTAGACTGTAATTTTTTTTTGTTTTCTTTTTTTTTCTTTTTTTTATAAATCTACAGTACTAATTACTTGGAGATATCAAGTAAAGAATGACCACCAAAAACCCAGATCATGTGATTTACATAATAGCTGCGATTAGTTTTTTTTTTTGTGTTGAGCTGGTAAATAATACATTCAACAATTAGACTGCAGCAAAGCGCTGACCCAAGTTTTTGGTAGTTGTCTTAGATGCCACGTCAGAGGTCAAGTAATGCTATTAAATTTTCACTTATTGGATAGTATATTTTATGAATTAATATTAGGTGAAGCCCATATCGTCATCTAAGGACTCTTATGGTAATGTTGTCATCTTTACAATACCATATGGAGAAAAGAAAGACACATTATATTTAACCTCTACATGTCCAGTGGATACAAGCCTTACACTTATGCAAAGCACTTTTACTCAC